GTTGAACCGTCCGCTGAAACATCTGCAATGTAGCGAAATTCAGGTCGTAGCCCATAGTTGAAAATATATACTTGTGCTTGCTTAGGAATGTCAATATTTGGACACTTCCTAAGCGCGATCTTGAACCTCTCCCATGTCTCTGGATATATTTCAAGATCCATTTGTTTGAAAGTATGCATTTCCTTGCAAATTTTATGGAATCTAGACGGCGGGAAAAACTTCATAGTGAATTTCTGTACCATATCTTTCCACGACACGATACTCCTGGCAAGTCATGAGTAGAGGGAACTTGATGTCATGTTTGTGTGCCCTCCTTCATGGTATGAGGGAATAAGCGCATTCAAAATGCATATGCTAACATCCCTTCATGACTGATAACTTCGCACGATATGAGAAAAACATGAATATGCTCATGCGTATTTTCTGTAGCTTTCCCGAAGAACTTCATGTCATGATGATTCTAGAAGAGATTGACGATATCTGGTCGAATGTAGAAGTTAGTATGACCGAAGGGAAGGTAGATGATAGGAGCTAGCACTGGTGCAAGTGTTGGATTCACATAATCTCTTACTAGTATTCGACCCTCGTTGGCTATAGGTATCTGTGGAATTGATAATGATTGTTAGCTTCTCATTGTTTTCTTCTACGTTATCAAAATGTTCTTTCGATCTAGGGGTCTAGTGAAGCTAGATCGATCTCGTCAGAAAGAATTAAAATATAATGAATAACCTGAAAGAAGTGAAACAGAAAGAATTCAGGCAGTATAATGAAAAACCTAAAAGAAAAAAGAAAAAAAGAAAAATATTGAAATTTAATATAAACTAATAAACTATAATTAAAACCGTTATTCTCTGGCAACAACGCCAAACTTTTTCGGACAAAATCCCACAAGAGCACGTGATTGTTGACAAGTAATAGATAAAGTGAGTTGAGAGTTATCGTCCCATGAGAAATAATGTTTAATTTCGGTTTACTAATTCTACCAAATTCAATATGTGGTAACATAAAAGAGTTTTGGATAATTTTCTATACCAATTTTAACTATAAAAGCAATTAAAATGCGTTTTTTTTTTTTCAAATATCAACGAATGTATTGATTTTCAAAATCCACATATTGATATCTAGTTCCAATTCTTGACTTATGTAATGTAGCTTGATTTATATGTTTATGACAATTAATAATCTTTTAATATCTAATATGCTCTCCCAAGATATATTAAATCTATACTGAATACGATCCGATCATATTCCTAGTTCCAATTAATATGAAAAGCATGCAGCCAATTACAAGATTATTTCACACAATTGCAAACACCATAAATATTATTCATAATATCTATTATCCGTGTGCTAAATACGCAGTGTTCTACCTATTGTGAGTCTCTCAATACTACGAATAGGCAACAAATTATCTAAATAGTGATCAACCATTTAAACAACACATAATTAATGCATATTTAATCAAGAACACGATAATTAACTAAAATTACTCAAATCTTGAATTGAAAACTATAAATCAAAATGTTTTATCATTTTTTCAATACATGAAGAATTCTAACCTAGCACATCTGTAATAAAATTACACAAAAAGAATTGAAAAGACATCACTTGAACATAAGAAATAATGAAGAAACAAGAATTTTTCACTTTCTTGACTTGAATCTTGAAACTTGATGAAGAATCTTCAATTTTGTATGCAATTCACCTTGATTTAATCTTGCTAGTCTTGTTCTTCACCTCCAAAGTATGTGAAATATGATGAAATTTAGGTCTAATGGAGGTTCCCAGCATTCTGGTCGAGTTTGGTATTTAAAGGATGTCAAAAATATTGTATTGAATTGTTACCAAGATGCAATTCCCCACGCCTAGGCATAGCCAGGGCGCGCGCCTAGCTTGTTTGGGATGCCTCGATGCCCATTTTTTGGTTGAGGCACGCGCCTCCTCTGCATGCATAGTCGAGCACCTAGGCTTGTCCAGAACAACTTTCAGCATTTTGTTATGATTTTCTCTTCCGATATTCAATTGAGATGATTCAAAATGCGTTGAAAAAATAACTTAAAGGATTACAATTCTTCTAGAATTAACATTTTTCCAATTCGAATGTTTGATATACCAAAAATGAGTCTCAATATGATACTAAAAATTCGAAGCATAACTTTTTTGGCTGGAACTTGATGCGTAATAATATTTTGACTATATTTCATCCATTTGACTTCTTTTCTCATCCAATTGACACTTAGCACTCTCACAAATTTTGAGTATTTGCACCGTAGTCCCCGAACTTTGGATCTTTTACAATTGAGCCCATTTTCACCATTTTTCTCCAATTCTTTCTCAAATAATGAGTTTTACCTATTGAACACAATGCATAACAAATTAGGTAATATTTCATCAAACGAATTACAAAATGTAATTATTTAAAGCCCCGAATAAGTGTGTTTTATGCACTTATCATATATGGTTGAAAAAACAGGTTCTTTTCGACCATGGTTCTAAGTTTTGAATTTCTAGTCAAGCGATTTAAGTATGGTTAAAGATGGAAATACAATATCTATCTCCTAAAATTTGTAATAGGAGCATTTTTCGGTTTAATTTCAAGAATGTTGTCCAGCACAAAAACTTAGCCCTTGTTTGACACCCATTTTATGGCAGAATTTGATTTGGAATAGTGATTAATGGAAGAATGTGTGGTTAAAAAGTAAGGAAAATTTTTGGGTTTATGTGTAATATTATTTTATTAATAGAATGTGTTGTTGAAATGAAGAAAGAAAAAAATGAGAAAGAGAGTGAGAAAAGAATAGATGTCAAACAAGGGCTTAATTTGCAGCTCAAAATATTTTTAAAAGAAATATCGTATTGCAAATATCAGATTCTACTCGATTTTTGTTTGAACAATAGTCTTGTTTGCTGGTAAAAGGCGGAAGGATTTCTTGCCATTTTTCTTTTTCTTTTTTTTTTTTTTTCCGGGTTAAATCTTAAGATTAGGACAGTTCTATATTTCTATTCTTAAATTAAGAAAGCTAGTAACCTAATATTATCAAAACTGCACAACGTCCAGGTCAACCCCTTACTTTTTTTTTTATCATATGTTGAAACTTGGATGACATAGCGCGCCATTCACGCCACGCTATTCTCTCTTTCTATACAAGTATTTGTAGTCTTTGGTAGGACTATTGACTCAAATTATGATATTTTGGATTTCTAAAGATTCAAATCACAGTATTTCGAATATGGTGTATGTAAGAGAAACAAAGTAGATGGACGGACTCATTTGTGTTTGAGGTATTGCGACTTGAATAGTTTAGAATTTGAAGTGCTATGATTTGAGTAAACGATAACATTATGTGGGCTTATAATGCTATTAGTGTTACGTAACATTATTTCTTATTGAAGTATTTTGATGGATTTGAAAGTAAGTTGTTTCGATGAGAGTGATTTTAATTAGAAAGTTTGAAAGGTAAATTGAAATCCAAAATAATCACACTTTTTAAAGCCAACATTGTGAATAACAACATCAAGATCCAGTGGACTGTTGTTTACGACAAAACTATTCTCAGTCAAGAAAGAAAAAGCCAGTGTTATCTTATTATTTATAAGTAGTTTAAAAGCTGATAAATGTCTCCTCCACCAACCTCATTCACTGCCATCTTTTGGTATCACCTGTTTTTCTTTTGTCACCTCCGAAAATCGCTTAATTAAGAATAATTGCTTAATAAACAGAGACCAGAATCCAAGTTAATTTTCATATAAATACAAAATGACAGTACTATTTTGACTTATTTAATCTTGGAATTCAAAATAATTCTGGTAAAACCCACATGGCCATGCCTTTAAGGTTGTGGTTAATGCATTGTTTGGAAAACGTAACGTAAAAAGAGGAAAAAACTTGTCGGTTTATTCACTGTCTCAAACAACTAAAATTGACCCCTTTTATTAATTATATGGAAGAAGATTAAGCCAAATTATGGTGGTTTAATTTGACCCACCTCTTAGTCCTCAGCCACCGTTGGATCTTGACCAAGTTAAAATACAAGATTATGGTAGTGGAGGAAGATGGCAACATGACATGTACAATAGAAAAAAATTAATCTCTTTCATCTTCTACAAATACAACACACTTATTTAACACATATTTACTAAACAAAAAACCAGAAAACCGTCTAAAGTTCTTGTAAACCATGAGACAAACCCTGATACGATTAAATTGTTACATTTAACTCTTCTAAAATTGAGTCGACAACAACATAATTTCTCAGTTATGTTCGATGCCCTTACAAAACTCGTCTCCCACGAGAACTTTAGAAGTAACTCTCGTCAAGTCGTCTAATATGCAATGAGGATGGCGATAATAATATCATTTTGGTCGAACTCTCCCTTCAAATCGACTTGTAAAAAGTGATAGACATAGTACAGCCTTGCGGAATTAAATTATTCCTGACTTGTGGTATTTAATAAAATGTTTTCTTAATGTCTATAAAACGTTATATATTTTAGGTCAAGATTCCTTCGAATTTTCTTTCATTTTATGTAGAGAAAAATAAAAGTAAAAATTTAAAGTAATTAATTATACAGAGCATTAATTTTGTTTGTTTTTCTAGAATTCTCACCCTGCCACTCATGAAGAAAAGCACACTCGCCACTGACAGCACTTTAATGCTCCATCATCATCGCAGCTCTTAAATTTGTATCCGAGACTTCTAAACCTGTCTCTGACCGTTTCTTTCTCTCTCTGTTATTTACCTTTTCCGGCGTATTTTCCGATGACTGTTACACCTCAAACATGCATCGTCTCCCGGCGACGACTGTGTTATATACCGGCATAGTAAACCAATTTCAGTATTTATTGCATTTGCATGCCCTTTACATTTTGTTCATCAACTCACTTTAGCCTTTCTTGCATAACCCAGTTCATAGTTAAAGCTTCTTGAACCCTTTAATTTCAGTTTTTATTCTTGTTTATTCATATTAAATTTTGTTGTGTTGTTTATCTGTATACCTAGATGCTACTCAAAATATTGTCTGTTCTGTTTCTAGCTCCATTTCTTGTGAAATCGTTAGACTCTACTTTGAATGATGATGTATTGGGTTTAATAGTTTTCAAAGCTGGCCTGCTTGACCCACAATCAAGGTTAATCTCTTGGAATGAAGAAGCTGACACTGCCTGCAATTGGGTGGGAGTGAAATGTGATTCCAATTCCAATCGAGTGACTGAGCTAGTCCTCAATGGCTTTTCTTTATCTGGGCACCTCGGACGAAGCCTAATAAGATTACAGTTCTTAAGAGTGCTTTCATTATCGAAGAACAATTTTACGGGGCCAATCAATCCAATTCTTGCCCAAATTGAGAACTTAAAAGTTCTTGACTTGAGTGAAAATAATCTATCAGGACCATTGCCAGATGAGCTCTTTCGACAATGTAGGTCTCTACAGGCAATTTCACTAGCCAAGAACAACCTGACTGGCTTAATCCCACGGTCCCTGACCTCATGTTCAATGCTGGAAAGGGTTAACTTTTCGTCGAATCAGCTTTCAGGTCAGGTGCCTTCTGAATTATGGTCATTGAGTTTGCTCCGATGGTTAGATTTATCGGATAATTTGTTGGAGGGTGAGATTCCTAGAGGGATTGAGGGTTTGTATGATTTGAGATCAATTAATTTGCGCAAGAACAGGTTTATAGGCTGGCTGCCGGAGAACATTGGAAACTGTTTGCATTTGAAATCTGTAGATTTTGGTGAGAATGATCTTAATGGGGGCCTTCCCGAGTCAATGCGAAAACTTGGGTTTTGCAGATATCTTGATCTAAGTGGGAATTCATTGACGGGAGAATTTCCCGACTGGGTTGGAGATATGAGAAGCCTCAAGTTTTTGGATGTTTCGGCCAATAATTTTTCTGGTCAGATACCTAATTCCATTGGCAGTCTTCAATCCCTGAAGGAATTGAATCTATCAAAAAATCAGTTCATGGGAAACTTACCAGAGTCTTTCATGAATTGCATAAACCTTAAGGTCCTTGATGTTGGGCAAAATTTGTTCACTGGTAACCTTCCTTCATGGGTTTTTAAGTTGGCTTTGGAGAGTGTCTCTGCTTCTGAGAACAGATTTTATGGAAACCTCGACTATCCTAATCCGTTATTGCTGTCAGCATCCTATCAAAACCTTCAAGTCTTGGATTTGTCATCGAATGCGTTATCTGGTGGAATTCCGTCTGCTATTGGGAATTTCAGTAGATTAAGGATCTTAAATATTTCGAGGAACTCATTAGGTGGTTTCATCCCACCTAGTGTAGGTGTTCTAAACACCACCCTTATTCTTGATCTTAGTCACAATCGGCTAAATGGAAACATCCCTGCTGAAATTAGAAGAGCAGTTTCGTTGCAAGAATTAAGACTTGACAGCAATTTCCTGACTGGAGCAATTCCAGCTGAGATTGGGAACTGCTCGTCTCTAACCTCATTGTAAGTTATCTATCACAATAAATTTTGTACTTCATAGTGCATGTATAGTTTTATGGTTTTGATATTATATGCTGCTTGTCTATGATGTTTGAAGGTTTTCAGAAACCATGTTTTTTCCATCTTTACTATATATCTACTTAATAACTTTTCTTTGGTTCGCATTTTTATATCATGTAGGATCCTCTCTCACAACAACCTTACTGGTCCTGTCCCTGTGGCAATTGCAAGCCTATCCAACCTTGAGGTTGTGGATTTGTCATTCAATCAATTTTCTGGGAGTTTACCGAAAGAACTGGCAAATCTCTCCAACCTTGTAACATTCAATGTCTCCTACAATCATATCAAAGGAGAACTTCCAGTTGGTGGCTTCTTCAACACCATTTCTCCATCATCTGTCATTGGCAATCCGTCCCTATGTGGCTCTGTCGTGAAGCACTCTTGCCCTGCTGTCCACCCCAAGCCACTGGTCTTAAATCCCAACTCGTCCAACTCCAATCACGGTTCTCTTTCTTCAAATCTCCGTCACAAGAGAATTATACTTAGCATATCTTCCCTTATTGCCATTGGTGCTGCTGTTTTTATTGCCATTGGTGTAGTAACTGTCACAATTCTAAACATGCACGTTCGTGCTTCTATGGCACGTTCTGCTGCTGCATTCACATTTTCAGGAGGGGACGATTTTAGCCCTTCTCATGGCACTGAAGCTAACTACGGAAAGCTCGTCATGTTTTCTGGTGATGCTGATTTTATAGGTGGGGATCAAGCACTGCTTAATAAAAATTGTGAACTTGGGCGTGGTGGATTTGGAGCTGTTTATCAAACAGAACTTCGAGATGGACGATCTGTGGCCATCAAGAAGCTTAATACGACGAGTTTGGTTAAATCCCAAGAGGATTTTGAGAGGGAAGTTAAGAAACTCGGAAGGATTAGGCACCAGAACCTTGTGGCACTTGAAGGGTATTATTGGACTCCATCTTTACAGCTCCTCATTAATGAATATATTGGTGGAGGAAGTTTGTATAAACATCTTCATGAGGGAGAGTGCAATGGCTGTCTCACATGGCAACAAAGATTCAAAATAATCCTCGGTACAGCTAAAGGCCTGGCTCATCTGCACCAGATGAATGTTATACACTATAACATGAAGTCCACCAATGTACTGATCGATACTTCTTGTGATCCTAAGGTTGGAGACTTTGGCCTGGCTAAGTTATTGCCTGCATTGGACCGTTACATCCTAAGCAGCAAGATTCAGAGTGCACTCGGGTACATGGCTCCCGAATTCGCATGCCAAACTGTGAAGATTACTGAAAAATGTGATGTCTACGGATTTGGGATTCTGATTCTCGAGGTGTTGACAGGGAAGAAACCAGTGGAATACATGGAAGACGATGTGGTTGTACTTTTTGACATGATGCGGGGAGCTTTGGATGAAGGCAGGATAGAGGAATGCATCGACAAGAAGCTCCAAGGTAATTTTCCAGTGGAGGAAGCTACTCCAGTGGTAAAGCTTGGCTTGATATGTGCGTCCCAGGTGCCATCAAACCGTCCAGACATGGATGACGTGATCAAAATTTTGGAACTAATCCAATGTCCTTCAGAAAGTCAAGAAGTTTTGGAATGATTTTTCTCTGAAAAAATGGTCACAATATCTGGTGATCCGGTGAAAAGGAATCCAGTACGTTCGTTGAGTACATGAAGAAATACATCAACTTCGATATCTTTTGCTGTTTTATGTCTCTCTTCAATAATCTTTTGAAATAATATTTTGAGCTTCTTAATTTTGTCACATTACATATCTTTATTGTGTTTATATTACTGGATTTCTCTTCACCAAGCATTTTGATTTTAATCTTACTTTTCTGCTTGGTTTTATGCAGCAGGAATATATTTAAGTTTGGATTTGAATTTTCTCCATTTTATCTGTTGCTTCTTGTTTGTTATTAGAATGGAATAGCTAAAGCTCCCGAGCTCATCGTGACAATGGTGATATGATGTTTGCAAATGCATGTGATCCCACTCTTACGTCTACCTCAAAGCACGATTTACAATCAAGTTACACTTGAAATTAGCGTCTCACAAATCATGCTCAAAAAGACTATCGATCTATATGTTATGTTGGATTGTTTACTGTTTAGTATTGCACGTCACTAGCACTTCTAATGAATTTGGAAACATATAGGAACACTATGATTCCTTAGTCAGGTTAGTTTAATAATTAATGCTTAAATTTGAAGGCTTGAATGATTTGAGTCCCCCAAGAGGACATAATCAAAGGGCATTGACATAATTAAATGCCATCACGTGGAGGGCCTCAAGTGCACCTGTTCCTCTAAAACTGCACAACTGTCCATTCCCAGGATTTTAAAGACTTCAAATTTACCAAGAATAAAACTTAGTTTCTCGACAGGGGCACACATCTGAAAATTTCTAATCTTTTATTAAGCAGTGCCTGAGATAACTGTAGTAAATTGAAAAGGGGAAAGGGGATTGTGGGATTTTTGGGAAATGTCAAATTGTTGGTGGGCAAAGGGAAGAAGAAATCACTTATTTTTGTGTTCATTGGTTAACTTTATTGGGACAGAATGATAGAGCCATGCAACAACTTTGAATTAAATAGGCAAGTTGGATGGAGCATTAATCTGTCTAAAGGTATAATGTGTGGGGACAAAAAGGAGAAATGCTCAATTGGGTTAATCATTATGAAGATTAAAGTGAAGCATGCATTTCTTAATTCCTACTCCACAGAGAGAGAGAGAGAGAGAGAGAGAGAGATGGGGGCTAGTGGGGATGCAGTATGCAAAGTTAAAGAAGCTCTTTTTAAGTGTCACCTTCATGAGTTGAATGGCTACAACCGACTATTGTTATGGAGTCCAATTAGGGGTGAACGCGGTTCGATTTGGGCGATTTGTGCCATATTTTCAACTCAAACCATTTCATGCAGTTTGAAAATTTTCAAATCAAACCAAACCATTTTATTTTTCGAACCAAATCAAACCAAACCATAATTTGCGGGTTTGTTCGGTTTTAATCCGCGGTTTACCTATCGATATTATAATAGTATATTTAAAATAAGTTAATGTATAAGTTTAAACGAGAATTAATAATGTTAAATATTAAATNAAAGAAATTATACAGGCGGAATTGAATTCCTTATAGAAACAGAAAGTGTTTGGACTTATAGTTCGAACACGTGAAATGTAATCCATGTTAAATGATTTTTTTATACGAAAGAGAAATGAAAATAATGAAATTAAAATATACAAACTCGACTCGTAGCTCAAAATTTCTTACAAAGACCAAGAATTGATTATGATGAAACATATTATCTTGTAATCAACGCCATCACTTTTAAATTCTTAATTAGTTTGACTGTGACACAAAGGCTCGATATGCGCATTATAGATATAGTGATTGCCTATTTGTATAGTTCATTTTATAGTGACATAAATATAAGAGTCCTTGAAGGATTGAAAGTGCGAAAAACAAATGATACATGCTCGAGTAGGGGTGAACGTGGTTCGGTTTGGGCGGTTTGTGCCATATTTTCAACTCAAACCATTTTATGCGATTTGAAATTTTTTCAAACCAAACCAAACCATTTTATTTTTCGAACCAAACCAAACCATTATTTGCAGGTTGGTTCGGTTTTAATCCGCGATTTACCTATCGACATTATAATAATATATTTAAAATAAGTTAACATATACGTTTAAACGAGAATTAATAACATTAAATATTAAAATACAGTCATCTTTCCAAAGAAGCCCATGAATAAATTATTTTTAGAATTGGTAGCTAAAAGATGTTAATAGAACGAATATATCTTTTTTCCTTTTTATTTACTTTTTCTTGTTTGTCTTTCGTATTGTCATATAGTGATTGGTAAATATAAGAGTCAAAATATGCTATAATAGTTTGGTTAAAACTTCTTTCGTCCTACTAGTGAGATGAAAACAAGGACTAAATATGATATGTTTAAATGTACAAAGAATGATAGAGTTTTGGTTTATTGGAAATTGACAAATTTTATTCTCTAACGAATACGAAAGTAGAATGTAATAGTACTAGTTAGGGAACTTTAACGTTTTCACACAATCAATACGCTCTATCCTTCGTTCTTTCTAAACGACAAACAAGTTCATTCATTACCTAGACACACAAATAATCATTTTTTTAAAATTTAAATCACAACTCACAAGTGTATAATAAGTTTAAAAAACAACAAATAAAAGAAAGAATAATGAAAAAATGACTTGAATGAGAATCTAAGACTTATCAAGAAAGAAGAGAGAAATTGTGACTCGGGTAGAAATTAGCAGACTAACGAGCAAAAGACAACTAACAATTTGCGATTGAGAATCGCATTTTGTTCAGCAGTGGCAGGCAAGCGTCGAATGTTTGAGAAATAAGAGTTTATGTAGCCTCTAAAGTGATTTGCTGTCGTAGTTTTTTTGTATTATGATTTGGATTTTTGAAAATAAATGTTTTTTTTTTTCATATGATTTGGGTTTAATTTTAGTTTAGATTAGATATCGGGTCACAACATGTGTTGTGGACTTATAAAACTATCGACCAATAATGATGAATTTAATTTACTTTATATGATTATTTTAATGGGTTGGTTGTAATTTGTATTGCTAAATTGTTATTTTTTCTAAAAAGTAAAAGTTTTAAAATTTGTAAGTTAATAAAAATAATTTTTTAATTAAAAGATTAAAAAACGGTTCGGTTCGGTTTTATGCAATTTTTAAAAATTGAAACCTAAACCAAACCATTTTGAAACGGTTTGGTTCGGTTTGAATGAAAAAATAAACGCGAGTCCACGTGAAACCGAACCAACGGTTTTAAACTAATGGTTTCGGTTCGGTTTGCGGTTTCACGATTTTTTTGTACAGCCCTAAGTCCAACCTGAGCATAATCTTTTATAAACATTAACTGAAATACAAGCCCCAAATCGGTTTGATTCGGGCCTCACTCTCGGCCAGCCCAAACTAGACTACCTAAAAGGGAAAAAATCACAATTCAGGTGTATGGTTTACACCAATTCAAAATTCAAGTATTAGGTAATTAATTAAAAATATTCATTAATTATATATAACTAGATCACAATTATACAATTAATGGTCACAATTTTATTCATAAGTCACCACAATTTATTCTTTGATCACATATTTCAAAATTAATTGATCACAGATTAATTAATTGTCACAGATCAAAAAAATTGTAGGTCACATGGTCACATATTTCCAAATTAGTTGGTCTCACATTTTTTTACGATCACAGATTATATAATTTTTAGGTCACTGATAACAAAATGATTGGTTACAGATTAACCAACACCTTGCTTTCACATCGGATCCTGATCCACCACCTTGACCGCTCACCACCACGTCCAAACCAACCACCACGCCCAAGCCAACCACCACCTCCATCAACAAAAATGATCGCCACCACCACTGCCAACAAACCCCGTCAGACCCACCACTACCACCACCACACCACACCACACCACAACCACTGCCACCACGACCACTTGTGACCTCCCTCACCCCGACACCATCACCTTCGCCACACAATAGCCATTTGTGACCACCACCTTACCACAACCAACAGTGTCAAATCCACCACCTCACTACCGCCAAAATCCACCACTAACATCTCCAGATCCACCTGCACCATTGACAACAAAAAAAACCCTCAAAAACCACCTCCACCACCATCCCTCAAAACTGCAGATCCACAACAAAAAAAATCTCAAAAACCACTTTCAAAGGTCCAAAAAAGAAACCTCAAAAACCACCTCTACCACCATCCCTCAAAACCGCAGATCCACCCCTCAAAACCGCAGCCCGTCACACAGTATTTTGCCGCTACAATTCGAGCTCCTTCTGACCTGCGATATGGATTGAGGGTGGTGATGGGTTTAGGCAATGACGGCGGGCGACGGCGACGGCGACGGGAGGGAGGCGATTGGTTGGTTTAGAAAGAGAGAGAATGTAGAGAGGGAAGGGGAGGGGAGAGGAGGCGAGAGAGAGAGAGGTGACAAAATTGAGAGTGATAAATTAGGGTTAGGGATTTAATGTATTATCTGATTTTTGAATAAATAAACTTTGGACCTAATTTTTAAAAAGTTATCTTTAAATCCTTGATTTTTTTTAATTTCCCCACCTAAAATACAGTCCAACTCATTTTACAGACCTACTGCAACCCAGATGTACTCTCGTAGAAGTAAGAATTGTATCAAACAATTACAGTATTTGCAAAAGTGAAGGAGAGTAATGGACTAACATGAATGGTGAAAGAAGTGAGTAGATAAAAGAAGCCACTTGATGTTGGACCAAGTCCATATGATATGTAAAAGCAAATATCTAGACTAAGATGAAATTTACAGGCCAATCCATTTTGTCTAGACCTCTACCTAGACATGTCAATTAGGCCATGCCTTAGGTAGCTTCAGAAAGGCCCCACACAGTACACAAACAAGACAACTGATTGGACTATCCATGTGAGCAAAGTGTAATGGACTCCCGTTCGACCCCCGAGTTGCCATAGTCCCGAGGCAACCTTCCCCCACATATGCAGCCGCCAACCTAACATATGCAATATAAGCATAATATGGGGTAGGAAACTTACCATCATACCTACAGAGACAGAACATCGTTAGTGCACTTTCAAGAATATAACAATAAATCCGCAATGAGCAATCTTGCCATGCTACATGGGTAGGGGAGTTCTCTAGGTCCATGACTAACTCCCCCACTCAATCCGCTAATGTCCTCGTAGCGGACGTGTGCTTTGCCTCTTCGTGAATTGCATACTCCTCCATGCTAGTGGGTCCAAAAATTCCTTCACAATTGTGACACCATCCCCCTGATGTGCAGGCGTCTACAGTGCCCCCTGCACCTATTCCCGCAGTAACCCGTACATGCCGTCTTCGACACCACATCCACCCTATGCACCTCAGCATTAGTTCCTCGAGTGGACGGCTCCTCTGGCCGATGCGTCACCACGCATGTCGAAGCATTTCACACCAATGCCCCCACTTTTCAATTTCCACAGCAACGCTTTTGTCATGCTCTGCAAAGTAGACCATTATGCAGTAGGCAAAATTGCATAACGCATGCCCCTTTTCCCATTATCCTCAAAGCTTTCCATCATCGATTCTGCTTGCTTGCCAACTGGTTTTGCCACATGTTGGTGGTCCCAAAATCTTCCCCGCAGAAACACACGCCATCAGTCTGGCATTACCAACAACGCAACTTCGGAGCTAATACTCTGATACCATGTGTAACGGACAGCCCATTCGGCTCCCGAGTTGCCACAGTCCTCAAGGCAGCCTTTCCCCCACACATGCAGTAGGCAAGCTAACATATGCAATATAAGCACAATATAAGGAGATGGGAAGCTTACTATCATACCTGCATACGAGACATTGTTAGTACACTTTCGAGAATATAGCAATAAACTCGCAATGAGCAATCTTGTCATGCCACATGGGTAAGGGAGTTCTCCAGGTCCATGACTAAAGGCTTCTAAAGTCAGGCCCGACACAGTACACAAACATGACGGCTGCCAGGACTATCCACATGGGCTGCAAACGCTTCTAAAGTCGGGCTCAAGACGAACCATGCAGCGGCTGGAAGGTTAGCCTACCTTACATGTATGTCTACCCCCTAGTTGCCTAACTCAAAGGATAGCTTACCATTAGAAATATAAAGTAGCATAAGAGTGAAATAAAAAGAAAACATAACAGAAAGAGGCTTTAGTAGAAAACACCATCAGCATTGTATCCGAAAGTAAAATACACTTTCATAAGCATTTAACAAATTTGTACTACTGCAAGGGAATATTTATTAAATAACGTTATTTTGCAGTGCCAAATTATCTATAAACGAAAACTTTCTGGGCTCCAAAATTTTTTTCAGTACAGATTATCGTATGCAAAATTATATGCAAGAAACACGGTCACATTTGCTGTGGGAGAAAAAGATGAAAAATATTAAATACAAAGGGATTTTTCTCATTTTCTTTTTCTTTAGCCTGTATGTGTGTCTTCTTCTTGCAGATTTTCTCCTGATTCCCATTTCTCAAACATGTATTGCTAATCATCCCAGTCATCATCCCATCCGTCTTTCTTAGAAGACCTTGAAGTAAAGCCATTTGCAGAGATACTCCTAATATTGTGCCCTCCAGGTGATTTTACTGCAGTCTCCTCATCCCAATCATCATCATCCCAATCCTGATCCCAACCTTCTGCTGTCTCCACATTGACAGCTGAAGTGGATTCTGGCAAGCCCATTTCAAGCTCCTGATATGGGATACCATCGTGCACGCTCCTCTTCTTTAACTTGCAGCAAGCCCAAGTCCCTCCACAAAGCAAAGCGAATAGAAAGAAGAAGTATGCAACATAAATAGGGGTCACCTGTCTAGAGTAGGAAGAGAACTGCCAGAGGAAGTTCTCTACAGAAACAGAACTATTCAAGTCAAACACACAGTTCCCATTTCCAGAACTTAATATTATTTTGCTGCTTTTGCCCAGGTTTGACGAGATAGTAATCTGCAAGCAAACAGGCAAAGAGAAAGTGGTGAATTGAAAAGTAGAAAACACAGCATACAACTCATATTTTGATCTAATGTCTTCTGCCAACTTCAAATAAGTCAGGTAAGAGTCATTTGAGTCGAAAGATTGTTAAAATGATAGTTCAGCTGAATAATTCAAGAAACTGAGTCACTAATTGAAATTTTTTTTATAGAATCAAATGGAAAACTCACAACGGTGATATTTCTTTTTCCTCACATTTTCATTTTCTAGAAAAGTGTGTGTGTGTCTCTCTCTCTCTCTCTCTCTCTCTCTCTCTCTCTCTATATATATATATATATATATTGATGATGGAAAGAAGGAATGGATATAACCATACAATTGCCTCTAATACATTAAGAGAACAAAACACAGTCAACAAGAAACTGAATTAGCTAGAGAGTTGTGGTCAACCCCCCGCAGAACATCTATCAAAGTATAGCCATTGTCTCTTCAGCTATGGTTCATAATACAGCAAAAGCACTTTATCCCAAATGCTGACGGTCGTGTTCATTAAGAAGTTAGCACTCTTCTCATCCCAAATGAACCCCATAATAGCTACAGCAGCAATTTGCCATGAGATTTTTACCAACTTATGACCTCTAGAACCACCAAAATCAATCTGGAATAGGGTTCGGCCCTGAAATTCTGGAAGTAAAGAAATTGCTCAATAATTTTTTGGAATTACGTTTCAAGCCTAGGTGTCAGAAACCTAACAAGAAAGGTCAATGACGAAACCTTCTGCTTTGCTAGCTAGTTCACCATGAAAGTGTAGTGCTAGGTGCTAATATTTAATGTATTCATTACTGGCTTCACTTCTCCAGTAGCAAGGAAGGCGTTTCTTTGTTGCTTTAATAAACCAAATAGTTTTAATAACGTCAACTCTACAGGGTAGCAAAACCAATATGATGACACCTCATTATAACATGTAGACAAGCCACACTGGAACTTGAGGCTCCATAATCAGGTTCAATACTTCGTCTTTGCTTAAACGATAAGAATTCTTATTTTAATTTTGTAGCATCTTTAATTAAAAAAATACTAAGCCTCTGTTTGGCTCCCATTTTTTCAAAAACTCATTTTTCATAACTCATTTTCAATTACACGTTCTCCCGTTAAATAATTTTATACGCAAATCCAAAACTTTTCCTTATTTTTTGACCACACATTCTCCAATAAATTACTATTCCAAATGCATTTTGGCCCAAAAATGCGGCTCAAACAAGGGCTAAATATATTTACACAAAATTTCTCTGTGTTCCTAATTCTTCCCCAATTTCTGTGCAAACCTTAGGGTCATAAGTGTTATCCTTATTTAATGGCAACAATATTCCATTTGCTTCTTTTTTTTCTAAAAGGGAATCAAAGGATTTCACCTCCCCCCAAAAGGAGGCAATTATTAGTGATGCAGTTGCTGAATTTCGGGTTAAGGCGACATGTACACTTTTACGAATTTGATTTCCCCATGCCACGGGACAAAAGAGAATATATAATACGAAAAAGAAATTGCACAACAACAAATATATTTATTCACACCTTTTTAATTTAGTTGTTTGGTACTTCAAAAACTGGGAATCCACTTTCCTTAGAATTAGGGAAGTTGACACTTTATCCCAAATGCTAACAGTTGGTCGTGTTCATTAAAATGTTCTCATCCCAAATGAAACCCATAATAGCTACAGCAGCAAATTGCCATGAGGTTTTTACCATCTTATGACCTCTAAAACCACCAAAATCAATCTGGAATAAGGTTCGGCCCTGAAATTCTGGGAGTAAAGAAATTGCTTAATAATTTTCTGGAGGTACGTTTCAAACCTAGGTGTCAGAAACCTAACAAGAAAGGTCAATGACGAAACCTCCTGCTTTGCTAGCTAGTTCACCATGAAAGTGTAGTGCAAGGTACTAATATTTAATGTATTCCTTACTGGCTTCATTGCTCCAGTAGCTAAGAAGGCGATTCTTTGTTGCTTTAATAAACCAAATAGTTTCAATAACATGTCAACTCTACTAGGTAGCAAAACCAATATGATGACACCTTATTATAAAATGTAGGCAAGCCACATTGGAACTTGAGGCACCACAATCAGTTTCAATACTTCATCCATAAATGAAAAGAATTCTTATTTTAATTCTGCAGCATCTTTAATTTAAAAAAAAAATAAATAAATATTTTACACAAAAATTCTGTGTTCCTAATTCTTCCCCAATTTCTGTGAAAACCTTAGGGTCATAACTGTTATCCGTATTAAACGGCAACTATATTCCATTTTCTTCTTTTTTTTTAAAGGGAATCAAAGGATTTCACCTCTCCCCAAAAGGAGGCTTGAGCCCAGTTCATGAACGTGGTAAGGCTTCACTCTTACCACAATGAGTGCAAAACGAGTTACCAGGATTTTCTTTAGGTTGATGCAAAATGTACATGAATATTAATGTAGTCTTTCCTTAATATATTCTTGATTCACGCCCTTCTCTAAATATATACTTAATGGTATTAATCCCCATTTCCTCATCTCTTTCAATGTTCGATGTAAAGACATCTTGTGTTTTATTGATCCAACATTGAATACCATGAAGTATAGCTAGTCCAACAAATGTATATCTCTGGCAAGACATGGAATTTCTTAATCCATTTCTTAAAAGGAGCAATTTTCAGTTTATAGTTCCACATTGAATGAGCAATTATTAATGGTGGAGTTCCTGAATTACAGGTTAAGGCAACATGTACACTTCTACGAATGTGATTTCCCCATGCCATATCACAAAAAAGGATGTATAATATGAAAAAGAAATTGCACAACTAAAAATATAATTATTCACACCTTTTTAATTTGGTTGTTTGGTACTTCAAATGCCGGGAATCCACTTTCCTTAGAATTAGGGAAATTGACATCAACTTTCAAATTGCTTTCCCCTTCATTTTGCACCAAAATGAACAGTTCTTTGGAACCTGCCAAAATAAATCGAGTTATTTTCTTCAATTGATAACAAATGTCAGTTTGAGTAGAGTATTAGATCCATATATTCAACTCTTCCCCTATATTCAACTCTTTACCATCATAATTAAAGAAGCGGAAGAAAACAAAGAAAAGGTTAGTTGATGAGTGTGTTTCAGTCATCGTATTAATGCTACTTAATCTTGATATTTCTTTTGATTCTTATAGTTTTAGAATTTGTGTATTCGTGTTATTTTATAGGTTAGGTGAATTGGCGTGAATGTTGCAAAACTTAGAGAAAAGAGCGATGTTGACATGAATCGAGGAGAAGTTGATGTTGATTTGGTGAACCTTGCTGATTGGAGGCTAATTGAAAGAAAGAAGTGAATAATGATGAAAAATGGTGAAATTAAAAGTTCGAGGACTCAATTGCAACTTTTCAATAGTTGATTCGAATTATAAAACGATAATTGAAAATCAATGAGTCAATCGGATGCAACTAGAAGTAAAAAAATGAGTGAAATATGATCAAAATATTGTCATAAATCAATTTTCAAATGCAATATATTCCAAATTTTTAGCCGCAGATTGAGACCCACTTTTGCATAGTAAACGTTCAAATTGGAAAAAATTATCTAAAGTAAAGTTGTAGCCCTTTAACTTATCTTTTCAACGCACTTCGAATCACCTCAATTGAATATCGAAAGAGAAAATTATAATAAAAATATTGAGAGATGTGCAGTGCTGAAATTTTTCCCGAAAGTGGGCGCCTAGTCGCTACAAACTTGGTGCTAGGGAGAAAGGGAAAAATGCGGCGCCGGGGCACCACTTGACGGAGAGAGATGTTTTGAATTTTTTGGATTCTTTTTAAATCTCAATCCAATCGTAACTTTTCCAAGACTTCATGATGATATAAATACAACTCTAGAGATCACTTTTCAAGGACAATTCAAGAGGGCATAAGGCAAGATATCATCAAGAAAGTAAGGAGAACATCAAGAAGAGAATCGATTCAACCACCAAAATAGTTTTATTTTTCTTCTTCTCTACATGTTTTTGATTATGAATTTGATTATATCTCCATAGTCATGAACTAAATTCCATATTTAGGGTTTGATGTAACAAACTTGAGATTATATTTTGATATTTGGATGGTTATTTCTTTGATATTTCCTATTCCGTTTATTTGTGTTGTTTATTCTTAATACTTTCAATTACTTGATCACTAATTGAAATTGTTTAAATTTAGACACTTAAGATAGGGAAGTTTAGGCGCGTCTTAGAATAACACAATCTAGGTTTTATAGGTTTCGAGAGAAAATATAAAATTTTTTAAGCATGTTTCATATAAGAACCATGAACTTGATAATTTCTAGATTTTAATTCAGAATAGAGATATTGAATTAGGGTTCTTGCTTACAAATTTGAAAAAATTGATTAGAAGTATCAGTAATTGAGAAACATAATTGATAGTTAGGTAAGATCTTTAACCCTAGGCTTTCTTATATTGATTTTTTTCTTAAAACTTGCATTCATTCATTGAATTCGTCACAACATTCACATTCAATTAGTTCAAAACCATTGATTTCATAATTCGATTGTCTAGATAAAATAGAGGCTACATAATTATAGTAATTAGTATAAATTGAATTTTAATCATTGTGGGTTTGACATCCGTACTTGATCTATACATTACAAAACTTGATACTATACGCTTGCAGTATATTTACTTTATAGAAAACGCATGACATTAGTTCATCTCCTTTTTATTTTCTTTTCACGGGATTGAGAGGAAGAGCCCACTTTCTTTATTAGGTAATGCAGCAAGAAGGAAAGGATAGGTTAAGATGAGTACTTTGTGTTCATACACGCAAGACAAAAAATACTCGCATCAAGCTCTAAATTACACGTGCTTTGAGATACCAATAACTATAGCTTAATTTTCATTCAACCTATCCAACCCATTTAGTTGCCAAATGTTTTTTAAAAGCTATGCGAACAAGGTCCATCAATTTCTTAACCAAAAAGAGCAGAGAGCGGTGCATTCATTGATATGTGCTTAGGCTTGACAGTATGGCTCGTTAGTGTCATAGGTAAATGAGCCTTGCCATGTCTTTCTCTCTCCATTTATCACATAGGAAGGAATTTCAGGCGAGGTATCATCAAGAGTAAGAAGGAGCTTCAGGCAATGTATCATCAAGAGTAACATTCTTGACCTAATGGAAGCCAAACTAGACAATCCTAACCAGTCTTACTAGGCAGCGAGAAACAAATACTGGATCTACAAATTATACCTTAGAAGCTACTTATCCTAATCACAAGGCATACCCTCCTAATAAATAAATAAAGCCTTTCCCTCTATTAGAAAACAAGAATGGAAATCAAATGGGAAAGGAGAAAGCTCAACACGTGGCACAGATCAGTGGGACACATCCATTGATTTCCTTTAATTTTTCTTGGGCTGCAAGTGACTTACTGCTTCTAGCCATTCTTATTGTTTAAGTCATCCTATGTTTTTTTATAAGCAGTTAATTGATTTCGTGCTTACCCAAAGGCTAAGGGGTAAATTGCACGCCCTACTAGTTGGGTGAAATTGTACATACATTGTACCCTAAGCACTGATCCTAAACAAAGCAGTAGCCTCTTCCAACATCAATGCATAGAGTGTGTCCTCGAAGCATGCCCACCCGCCTTCCAAAGGGCAAAGTCAAGTGATTCTTTTCATAGGGGATCGTAGCTAGCTATAGTGTCACAGGATTCTTTCATCTTCCTTTCATATTCATTCTCAGCCATGACGCTATAGGACCTCGAATTGTTAGTTAACATTATTATGAAAGGTGGCATTTCCTGATTAGAAAAGCAAAGGTGTAATATAAAACTTAAGGTGAATTGAATGTAATATTATCTCCTTCAAACATTTCTCAGAAGTTCAAAGAACACTTTTATAGTCAAGAAAGGCACTAAGGCAGTAGAGCTTGTATATCACAACCGGCACATAAATTAATAGCATATTACTCCAGCAACTAAAATATTTTGAGAGACTATTGAACGTAATTCAAAAATCTACAGCCTTCAATGCGATAATGTATTGAGCGTCAGTTGGCTTCTGATACATTTCATTTGATTAAATCATGTAAATAGCCTAATGGAAACAAATCCAAGATTCATTTACCTTGTGGGATCAGGGATTCAGAGATAAAAGAATAAAGAATTAAGGTAGTACTCTTCAGCATAATATAGTACCTCAGTATTTAATAAAAAAAAAAATTGAAACCTCAAATGGAAATTGATGAATATGATCAGATAACACTAACATACAAAATTCTTGATCCAAGAACACATCATCAATGATAAAAGAAAGCATGAAAGGCTCATGTTTGTATGTGTATAATGAAGAAAGTATTCTACTGGGTCGACTGAGCCTATGCTTGGGATTAATTCTGTGTTTTTCATAAGCAACTTATTCATAAAATTTGTTTCATTAGGTAGGTAGTGCAACCGTTTCTGACACTTCCATGTACTTGAAAGGATTCAGTTCCATTTTATAGATTATCTCAACCTATGATCCCATTAATATTGTTTCAAATTTTTATATGCTCTTTGTAATGAACCGAATCGTGGGCATCCTTCTATACATGCAGGAATATTTATCACCCTGTGTAATGCAATTGCAAGCCTCAAATTATCCTTTCCAAGAAGTAAAAATGTCACAAAAAGAACTGCCTTATTTGAAATTTGCTTTCTTATAATACAACCTAACTTTAGATTCCAAGTTGTACCTGTTACTATCATATTCCAGGTATAGAAAATATATATCCATGCAAATCAAATAAACTAAGAGGAATGATATTTTAGTTCTTGAAGGTTCTACTCAAAGCATTGAACTCAAAGAACTAGCTTGTAAGAGAGTAACATGATCTGAAATGGGAAAAGTTTTACCATTTTTGGAGGTAAAAATGCAGGCAAGCATCCCCTTATCTCTGCAGCTCCTCTGCGATCCCTCACAACTATCATTACTGCCCAAATGTGTTTTTGTGGTATTTTCCACCTTCCCCTTCCCTTTTTCGTCCAATACACCTTTCTTCATACCATCCGGTGGGCTTGAAACATCCGTATTGTTTTTATTTTTATCAATAACATCGTCCTTTTTCTTGGAGCCCTCCGAATCCACAGTTGACGAATTCTTGTTCTGATTACTAACCTCGGATTCCTTGTGCTTATCTTTCTCAGACTTCCCGGCATTTACAGGACCACTGACAGGACTTCCCATAGGCGAAACCTAGATCAAATTTATTCCCAATCAATAATTTCATTTTTTTGTCAAAATAAGAACTTATACATAACACATACAAACACATATACACACAGAGAGGCAAAGCGATTTACCTGTAAATCTGTTGGAGTGTTGTTTGTGGCGCCGGATATTAATCTCCGGAGATTAAACATTAAAGATGCATCACTAGTGTTTGACAATATTAATAAAATGAAAATAGTGGCAACAAATCCATGTTTATCCATCTCTCAAAAACTTCTGAATTTAATAAGATATTTCTTCGATTATTTCTACCAAAACGAAGCTCAAGAGCTCATTTTTTCCAGCAGAATTTTGGGGTTATTTGTTTACTTCTTCCGTTAAACAAAAAGCTTATACTTTACGCAAATAAAATTAAATAAAACTCGAAGATTTTAATACAAATCAATTTGGGAATTAGGGAAGGTTTATGTGTTGTGGATCTGACAGGGAAGAATATGTAAATTTGAGATGATAGCGAGGGCTTTCCTAACTTTTTGCTACAATAATTTCTTAAAAGAAATTGGGGGCACAAACAAGCTCTTAGTTTGAGTTGCATATTTTAGAGTCATATTTAATCCTTATTATTTTCAAAATATATTTTTCTACTTCTTTTCATTCACACATTTTTTAATAAAATAATATTACACTAAAATTCAAAACTTTTTTTAAACATACATTCTTTTTCAATCTACTATTCTCAAATGTATTCTTAACAAAGAATGATGCTCAAACAAAATCCAAATATTTCATTAATTTTTAAAAAAATATTAAAAATTTAAAGAGATGCATGTCAAACAAATGAGGAAAGCAGGTCTAGGTACACCATTATAAACACCTCACAAAAATCAAATCTAGTTTTCATAATTCACTTTTCCACCGTTCATTTTATCCATTTATATTGTAATACATTGGCTTACAAACAATAGAAGTCTAAACATTGAAACCTATCATAGAAGTTGAAGATCTTGTTTTACAAGTTCCACAGCTTATAAATTGTAACCAGTATAATTTGTGGTTAAGCCACACATTATGTAGACTCCACAATTATAAATTGTGGATGTATCTGTTAAATAAATCGAGTCGAGCTACTCAATTCATCTCATCACGCGAGCCAACTTGTGCTCGCTTGTGGGGCGAGCCGAGTTGGCTTGCTTTACAAATTTTTGGCCCGACTCACCCCATCAACTAGTTCCTTGGTGAGGTTTGCAAGCCATTTGCAACTACTATTTTTAATGTAAAAATTACACATCCACTCCCCAAACGATAATGAAAACATAAATCAATAAAGAAATGGTAAACGTAAAAAATTTCATTCTTTCAAAAGAATTATAAACTTATAAAATTATCTTCCTTTATCCGAACTTGGAGTTGACTAAAATAAGTAGACTAGGTTAAAATTGTGCAAATAGAAATATTTATGTACAATTTTTTTTTCTTTCACAAATAGATGAAATTAATATAATTTAATAAATAAAATATACATAAAATACTACCTTAATATTGTATAATTGTACGTATGAAAATATACCGAAAATCCACCTCTTGAAGCCACCAGTGCACGCTAATATGAGCTTCTATTCTAGTAATATTGCACAAGTTATGTGATGCATATCAATCTAAAATATGATTTCTCAAAATAGAACATGTCAATAAGTGTTGATAAAATCTCGGGGTGCTATGAACAAGTTTGGGGCTATATTGAAAAATGCTGAATATTGATAAAGGCGTGCTTTCCACCATTGAAGTATATAAAAGAAGTTGACCTCCACTAATATCTCTCTCCGTGTAGGTGTTCAAAGCATACGAACTTTATACATTTCAAATTCACAAAAACTCAAATCTGTAGTTTGAATTGGTATACGATTACACAATTCTTAGATTTTTTTCCTCGTGGCGAGTATATTTTATTTCAAATGTAAACTTTAAAGTCATTTTGAATTAAGGGTGTGTTTGATAAGGTTGTTTTTCTATGGAAAATGGAATTGGTTTTCCATTTTCCATGTTTTTTGGTGTTTGATAGGATTTTTTTCCATACCAAATGTTTTCCACCCTCCCCCCACACGTGCACATTTTCTCTTAAATTGGTGAAAACATTTTCCCACCATTTAGGTGGGAAATGGTTTTTCAGGTGCTGCTTTTTTTTTTTTTTTTTTTTTTTTTTACTTATTTTCAC